CAGGCGCTCATCCTCCCTTGCTCTGAAGGTCTTTGTGTCCATCTGCTGCCTCGCCCACTGGATACTTACAGAGACTATAACTCAACCACATCGAGCTGTGAAGGGAGCGAGCCTGAGCTCTCGGCCCAAGCCAGCACTTCTGGGGTGATCCCCAGTGTCAAAGGAACTCAGCTCTCACTTAGAAGAATGGGATGCTAAACTTGTAAGCTAACTGGGGCAGGGACTGTCTTTATGTTCTGTTTGTACAGTATTTAGCACTATGCCAGCGATACTCAGACTGAGGCTCGTGAGCCGCAAGTGGCTCTTTAATGTGTCTCCCTGCAGCACATGATGTTAAAACATTGTGTGATTTAATTATTAACCCATCTAAGCTATTAACCAATCTGGATGCCATTACTATGTTATTAACCAATTGTAGTTAATAAAATAAAAATACTTGGTCAATCATTTTGCTGTGAGAATTTTATATATATATATGAAACAATGAATTCACACTCCTGTGAGCTCTTTTGGGGAATGCTGATCGCTAATTTGGCTCCTAGACCAATGAGGTCTGAGTATCACTGCTCTATAGAGTCCTGACTCATGCTGGAGCTCTTAGGTGCTACGACACTATGTATAACAACAAACAAAAATCAGGTCTTTAGAAAATCCAGCCCCGACTGTGAGCACTTTTAAACCTTGGCTTGAATGCTCCAGCTGACAGCAACACAGCCATGAAGAAACAAAGTAGAGAAGGAGCCCAACACAAAAATGGGGATAACTTTCTTTAGAGGCAAGATTGACAAAGCTGGACCAGGAATCGCTATTAAACGAGCAACGTATTGATGCAGGAGTGTCTTAAATTTCATATCCAAAAATCTTTCCATTAGTCTGTATATTATTTTGCTGCTCCACTCCAATGCACCTGTTTGTCTTTCAGTTGAGCCATTAAGGACATGTGAGACATGCCACTGGAGAATTTCTTTCTTCCTTTTTTACTTTCTTTTTTAATTATTATTGAACCCTGGTCAATGCCAAACTGCTCAGCAGCAATCAGACCGGCAATCTCTATGAACAAAGGCGACAGACAGCAGACTGGATGGCAAACTCCACTCCAGAAATTGGGACACGAGAGAAAAATCAGGCAAAAATGACAGTAAAAGAACTTAACTCACCAAAAAAAATGTTGGAGCTAGACAGCTTTGTAACCGTGGTGCAGTCTTTGGACTAGGGAGCCAGAGAGGTGAGGTCTAATGGACTGAAGGAGTCTGCTGAGCAGCTGTGCCAGTACTACACAGTAGCAATTTATTCCAGCACCTCTTTGACTGCAAATGAACAATATAACCTTAAATAAATCAACAATTGCTTATTGATTCATAATTGGGATAATAAATTCTTTAGTTTATCAGTACCTTATGGCCTTCCAGGGTGCATTCTTTGAACAGTTTCATTACAGATACAATCCTCTCTTCTCAACAATAAATTATTTTTTTTTAAAGGAAAAGAGAAACAAGAGGATACATGACAATTTTAAAGCAAAAGGAAAACAAACCCTATTTCTGACATATATCTTAAAATAATATGAAGCCATCTCTCTCTGTGTTAAATGCCTAAGTATAAATAATAAAGGACATTATGGTATTTACAGTGTTACACAAGGAATTGAGAGAGCATCATTGACACGTAACTCAGAAAGACAATAAATGATGGAGGAAAACATTCAAGTATGTACAAGATGTATTTACAACAGAATATATCATTAAAATAATGATATGTGGCCATTTTCTTTGTCTGCATTTCTCTGCAGCATTTCATAGGTGCTCTTCTCATTGGAAATCAATGTGGCTGATGGAATCTAGCCAGTATCGAAGACAGAGAACAGGCTTTGCTTACGTTTGCCAGGGGCGACTTGCCCGTTTAGCAGGCACAGGTTTGCTGTTCTGAATGCACGAGTAATGGTTCATACTCTGTACAAAGATATAGTAGCTGGATGAAAACAGGAGACGATGCTTCATTGTCATGAAACAAGAGACAGGACAGAAAGTGTTATTGTTTCCCTGGCAAAGCAAAGAGAAATGCTGGTCCTTTCACACCCGGGGAGACATTTTGTGGGATGAGGTGGGAGATGGGGGAAAACACAAATGTGAGGATAAAGGACCAGATTCTCAGCTAGTGTAAATCAGCAGCCGTGACGCTGTACTGATCTACACCAGCTGAGGATCGGGCCCCCACCATGTTTTACGCACCACTTTCCATTGTCCACCCCTGACGGGATCCTCTAATCATGCAGAATTTCCCAAAATGTAAAACTGCTCACTAGAAATACGTGCTGGTGTGGGGGTAAATGTCATGGTCATAGAACTCAGGGTGGTTTTACAGCCACAGAGTCTTCGTTCCCCCTCGGACTGCTGTTGCACTTACTGTGAGTTTTAGCAGAGGGCCAGCAAGGCTGCCAGAGGGTTGTACATTGTTAAAGGGACCCCAATAGCACAGAGAGTGCAGCAAATGGCCCCAAGAGATGACTTGGCCTGTCACCGGAAAGCATATTTGCTCTAATGCTGAGAGCTGAGTTTCCACCCTGTCAGTCTTGCGAGGTGAGCAGCAGGTCCAGGGATTGCTCAGCACCTCTTGCAGGCTCAAGCCCGTCTCCAGGAGGCAACAGGCCGCAGCAGCGTCAGGGCTAGCCATGTTACTGGTTCGTTAACCACGTCTCAGACTGTGCAGAGCTGGGTCCTACCATTCTCAGTACGTATTACTAATATGGCTCATGCAAGAGGCCAAATTCTGCTATGTTATGCTGGTGCAAAACCGGGGTAACTCTACTGACTTAACACAGGTTTGGTTTTTGCTGGGATTTCCAAAGGCGTCTAAGGGAGTTAGGCAGCCAACTCCCACTGACATTCGTTGAGCACACGCCTCTCTGAAAAGCCCAGCTTAAAGCTCTCAGGGCTCGTGCGCTGTTGTGCGTCACTCCGCCTGTATGCTGGGGCAGCTCCTTTGGCTTGAGAGCTTGACAATGCAATCGGAAGAATGTAACAGATTTCCCCAGGTGTTCCACATGCACAAGGCACAGACTTCCATTTTGTAGTGCCCTTCTGTAATCTTTGATAATACTTTCAATGTTGTAAGTAATTTACTCTGCTTTCATGTGATCACCCTCCCCCCCACCATTAATCTGTGAAAAGCCACAAAGGCCACCAAGACATGGCGTGATTCAGTGGATGGGGCACTGAATGCAGACCCAGGAGATCGGGGCTCTATTCCCAGTGGTGCAGACCTTGGGCAGGTCACTTTCCCTCTCTTTCCCCTCCCACACTTTGGCCGTCTAGTCTATTTAGTAAACTCACTGGGGCAGGACTGGGTTGAATTTTCAAAAGCGCCTAAGTGACTTGGGAGCAAAAGTCCCATTGACAGACAATAAGACTTTTGTTCCTAAATCACGTAGACCTCTTTGAAAACCCCAGCCACTTCTTCTTACTATGTGTTTGTACAGTTCCTAGCACAATGGGGCCCTGGTCTCTGCGGAGACTGCTACAACAGTAATAATAACTAACATATGAAATGAGTGCCAGGCATCCAGAATTTACACAGGGCCCTGGTTGTGTGCAGATGCAATACAAAGACACTGGTAAGCACAGTGAAAATACAGCAATGAATACAAAAGAGGAGGGAAAACTGGGAAGGAAAATGAGTCTTGGTAACACATTAATTAAAAACTCTGCAGTCTCCCATATGCTTTTTAAATGTGCGGCGATATGCAAGTACAACTGAGCCCACTGCCTGAGCTCTCTCACTGAAAATCACCTGCCCTTGCTTTCCCTTCCATCAGAAAGATTCTCCCTTGTAATCTTGTCACTATTTCCCTACTGTCCTAAGCTCTCAGTCTGCTTGATCAGATGGCTAAGAACTCTCATCTCACAGCAAAAGTGAAGCTGATGCTCTCTGTTTTGATAATACAGTACTGTCGCTCCCCGCCTTCATCCAGAGTCCTAAGTAGCTTCATTTACCACAATCGGCCAGATTCTGCTTGAATGAGCTGTCCAACCCTGTTCAGCAAAGCACTTCAGCGTGTGCTTAACTTTACTCATGTCCTACTGCTGTCAATGGGACTTGAGCACATGCTAAAGATAAGCATGGGCTTAGAGGTTTGCTGAATTGCGACCTTTGTTCCACTGGTGTATATCTGGCCTAATTGCCTTGATATATTCTGATTTACATCAGTGTAACTGGGATCGGAATTAAGAGTAAATCACGGCTGAAATTTTTGTTGTCCTGAAATGGCTCCTATTTAGGATCAGTCATACTTACAGCACTGATGTTCTCCTAGTCATACTCCCAGGGGTCCATGCAGAATGCTTGCTATTTACATCAGTCCTGAGTCTGCATTGTGCCAGCTGAATGTAAAATCAAACTCAAATGAGAGGGGGTCACCCCACTAAACTGATCAGAATTTGGTGCAAAAGAGGCGATTTGCTTTTGTCTGAAAGGGTGCAATAACTCCAGTATTGATACCACAACTTGTCTATTACCAGTCAAAGATTCTAATGCAATCACTGGTCACATGCACAAATACCCATGCACATTGTGGGGCTAATCAACGCAGTGTGTTTGTCTACTGAAATGGGCTTTTCATAGAACTATTAAAAAAAAATCAGGTCACCAGATATGAACTCAATGTGTCTTCTGCTATGTCTTTCCCACCAGGATTCCTTTTAACTATTCAGCAAATTGATTTGGCTGCAAGTCATTTCTATGTACAAGTATGACTCTCATACTAATAGCAGCTCCAACAAGTCACAGAATAGTTATTGTTACAGGTTTGCTGGGGGGGTTTTCTCACCGTGTCCCTTTGAAAACAAAGAATAACTGTCTATTAAAAATCAACATTAAAAATACTGGTAAAAATGGCTGCACTTTTATTAGTGGCTTTTTTCCCCAGCTAGTTCTTTTCCTTGTCTGGTTACAGATACTTGGTGTATTTTTCCCAGTAACTTAAGCTAATAGAAACCTTGTTCTTTTGTAAACTACTGGGTTCACAGCCTCTGCTACTCTGAGCCCATTTTCTAAGGGATAACTAGGACAATTAATATCTGGAAAAAAATGTAATGACAGTTCCTAGTGAGTACAAGCTGATTTCTGATTAATAATATATTCAGTTTAAAATCACAGTATTACTCTCTTTCTAATATGTAACATTATTTAATGCAATTTTTGTTATCCTGCTGTCATTAATAGTAGCATGCTTTTGATGTACTATTATTCCAGTGCCCAATGAAGCAAACCTTTTGGCTGGCAGAGAGCAGACACAACTCATTTCAGATACGGAAAGCAAATAAAACCTCTTATAGAAGAAAACAGTCTTGTTTTGTTGGTGGGTATGTCATTACAGGGTATTTTGATTGGGGGGGCAGTCTACTACAAGCAAACATAGGGACTTTTGCAATTCTTGCAAATCATATGTCCAGTTACCATGACGCAATGCACAAAAAAGCCAGGAGAACTGAAGGTCGGAAGATTCTGCAAAATACCGTAGAACAGCAATTACTGTAACAGTACAAAACTTGCTCTCAACATAACATAACATAAAGGCACCATTGATATCTTTCTCATTTTTGAAATACTGTAAAAAATTGCTACATATGGCACATAACACATTTGTACATACATATATTTAATTTATAAAAGTTTTTTTCCCCATCCTGTTTTCTATTAGTGGAATTTGCTAAAATAAAATAAATTGTTTAATTTAAAGGTGGAATACTTCATTATATAAAATAAAGTTTTACATGTGAATCTATGCGTTTTGTTTATGTTTTATACAGCAATAGGGTCTTGATTAGCTATTACACTGGACAACCTTGCTTGTAATTCTTCCTGTGTGGAGAACCGGCTAGTTGGGTTAGTCCTGCTGTCAGCCAGTCGGTATGCAGTGGCTGGCTCTAGGCTGGTTGCCATGGGGTTCTGTATGCTCAGGAAAGGTGTATCCTCACCTATTCTTTCGTCTTCTGTTTCACTCTCAGAGCTACTGCTCTCAGAGCTTGTGTCGGTGTCCACTTCTAATCTATTGGAAATGTGTCCGTTGGGCTTTGTTCTTTTTGCCCTCCGGCTGTTGACTAGTTTCTTTGGAGGCTCCTGTGCTGGCTCATACTCCTGTGTGGTCTCATATTCCTCGTCCTCTACTATCCTCAGAGGACTAGGTGGCGGACTGTTGCTCTCATGGGCGGGGTTGTGGTGGAAGGAATTGAACTGCTGAATGTGATGGTCATACTTCTCCCGTAACCGAGGTGGCGTCACCAGAAGCAGAGGCCTCTCCTCTTCCATAAAGGGACTGACCGCCACAGAAGGGACAGATACAGTTAAACTGGATACCGGTGGAGACATTTCTGAAGGGGGGGACTTTGGAGAACTTGGAGTGTGGAAATCAACAGGTGACATGCGAGCCGGTGTGGTCATAGCGGATACATACCTGAATAAGGACACATACAAAAAGGCCCCATAAAGGTGGAGAAGGAATAAACATAAGAGAAAACATTAAGAAAGGCCACCTTTGAGGAACAAATCATTACCATATTATCCATGTCCCACATGTTTGTGATGTCACGTGCGATACCCTTGGGAATAAAGGAATTCATTTTCTAATGCATGCAATAGTCAATATGTATTTTTGCATGTGCTTGCCTTGCACCTGCGCAGTGGATGTTGCATGCATGCATGCAAGCTGTGGATTTGACATGTGCATGTAGCTGCATGCAGGGATAATCCTGGCAGTAGGGCATGCATACTGCTTTGCATTTAGGCCATCACTGAAAAATGCAGCAGCCTCTGTCAATGCTTCCATAATCAATGCACCTGACAGACAGACATTCCCAGTGTTATTAGCCACATGGTATGTTAGTCTAGAATGCTTTTGTGCTTATGGGGAAAATCGAAGGAGGAGAGGAATTTGATGAAACCAGAAGTGTAGGGCTATTGGAAGAGCAGGGGAAGTATTTTCAGTTCTTTGGTGAGTCCAGCAATGGGAGTTAGGGAGCAGGAGATGAAAGAAACACAATGCAGTTGCAAGTGGTTTATAAAAACTACAGTGCTTGTTGTTCCAGGCAACATTTGCCCCGTGTCTGGGACTTGAGGGAATGAGCAGGGAAAAAGAACTAAAATGAGCAGAGCTGAGGCACTCTGAAGCTTGAGCCTGCATACCTCTGGGAAAAACAGAGGGGCAGATTTTGCCACCTTTACTCACTCACTTTACAGAATTGGAACCAGAGGACTTAGGTGGACCCCTAATGTTAAAACATATCGGGCCTGGGTTTCAAAAATGATCAGGAATCTCCACTTTGTTCAGTGGAAGCATCTGGGTGCTGACCCCTGGAGAAACCATTCCACACTGTAATTCCTGTCTTATAGCACTGAGCTGGCTTTTAAATGCGTAAAATAGCGGTTTAAAATGGCAGCTGTTCCTTACGTGGAATATGATCCTTATAAGGTCTTTTTCCAGGACACACCTTCCCCCCCCTGCACACAATCTCCTTGCCAGTTCTATGGGGGCATGAGGAGCCAGCCCCTTGACAGAATGATCCGGCAACAGCTTCAGAAATCAAAACACAGAGCATTTCCTGTCCCCTGTGTGGAAACAAGAGCCGACACAAAGGACGCTTTGGCTCAGTGTTAATGGCCCCTCTAGAGAATTTACTCAGAGTCCCTTGGTAGCTTTCTGGGGAAGGTTAGCAGTTGAAGGTGATTTTTATAAATGGAGGTAAGCTTCCAGGTAGGCAGCCGTCCCTTAAAACAAAAGTCCTACTGACGTTCAAACAAGAAAGACAAAGGGCCAAATCCTCTGTCGGTGTAAATCAGTGTCCTTCCCCTGCACTCAGGGAAGCCAGGCTAATTCACCCCAGCTGAGGATCTGGCTCAAAATGCCTGATCAAAGGCACAGTGCACAGCATGACATTTTACATTGTTTGGTTTTGCCTGTTTTCCCTTCCCCTGAACTTCACCTGCTTGAATTTCAGTTGTATCCAAATTTAAGACACACCCAAGCGGTACGTCTCGCACAAACCCACTAATACAAGTTGTAGGCCTACTGCTGATAAGCGCCTTTTATTTTTAATTGGTGAATAGTTATCTGAGTCTGAAATTATCAAAATCAGTCTACATCCAAAATTGTCATCCAAAGCATGACTCAGTTCTGCATACTCCCCTTGATTAAACACAGCAGGTTAATTGGAAAGAGGGGAAATTGGGTTAGACTCTCAGCTGTTGTAAACTGGTGTAGCTCCATGGCTTTCAGTGGCACTCTGCTGATTTACATCTGCCCTTTGTTTCTAGGAAAAAAGTGACAGCTGTAACCATTTGTGGCAATGAATCAAGATGGCCACCGTGAGACCAGAGAGGAACGAATAGGTCTGTGTGTCCAATAACAGAATAAAATCATTCCCTCTTTTTCCTTATATTCAGGAGCTCTCTGATCTATTCAAATCTTTCTATAGCTGGTGCTCAAGGGATAGAAGCTTCTGCCCAACAACTGCTGCTGACAGGAAGTTTCACTTCATTTGGTGTAGTGAAACTGGTCCAATGTTGTGTATTGATGCACACATAGAGACACACCTGGATGGAGTGTGATACGTTTGTGAATGGGATTATATGATGGAGTTTCCTGTCACAGCAGGGGACTGGCCTTGATGACTCAGGAGCTCCGTTCCAGCCCTATGTCATATGTTCCCATGACACTTATACCGGTTTAAAACTGGGTGTATCTGTTTAGTGTGCGCCTGTAAATTTACCGACATAAACTAAACGGATAGAATCCAGGTTTAAACTTATATAAGAGGATCCACACACAGAGATGCAAATTGGTTTAACGAAACCAATACAAATCACTTTGTGTTGTGGCAAATGGCCAATGCTACTGTGGTGGGTCCTGTGCGTTTTCTTGGTGTGGTGGGTCAGGGTGCCGCCCCTTGCCCCTATTCCTGGGCGTTATGGGCTCTGCTAGTGCCTCAATGGGACAGAGAGAGGGAAGCGGGGAAGGGACCCAGGTCCGTTCTCCTACCCTGGGTCTCAGCCCCTTCAGCTTTGCGGGCTGCTTACCCTCTCTCTCCTTGGGTAGGGTTTCCCTCAGTCCTCTGTGCCAGGGGAGTCCCTCTCCTCTGCTTGGCCAGGGTTTCCCTTCCCCTGGTCCTCTGGTTAACAGCAATACTCCTCCAAACTCTAGTCAGCTCTCCTTCCCTCTCTCTGTCTGACTGAAGCAGGGTTTTTTTTATTAGGTCTTGGGCGGGGCTTTAATTGGCTCCAGGTTCTCTAATTACCCTGTAGTAACCTTTCCCTGGTCCACAGGGAATAAGGTCTTGATCATCCTAGGGTTTATATACCTCCCATCTAACACTCTCCTGCTGCTCCCTGGCCCTGCTGTATCGCAGTGTGTAGACCAGGTCTTAGGTCAGCCACAGAGATGGTTTCTACAAGCTTCTCTGGTGTGAGATGCAGCATATGTTCTACTGAATACGAGGTGGGTGCCCAGCAGGTGTAAACTGGTGTCGCTCCATGGACTTCAATGGAGCCAGGCCAATGTGCATTAGCTGAGGAGCTGGTCCTCAACCTTTATTTAGCTTTTAAAGTAAAATTAAGATGTGACTCAGGTTAACTGTAGAGATCAGAGCCTTGAAGGAATATATTCTTGTCTCATTAACTCCCTGCGCACCAAAGTCTTAGAGGAGAAGGGAATCTGCATTTTTATTTTAACAGGTTCTTTTATGGTTCCAATTCAGCTTTAATCTAGAGTCTCTCTCTCTCCCCCCATCTTCCAGAAATAATTTGCCATTTATTTCCTGCAGGCTGAAGATAGATGAGGCCTAATTTAACACCCAGGGTTCATGGTCATATCAAGCACAAGTTTGGGCCATAACTGACTGGTGATTTATTGTAAAAATGCAGCCTGTATTTCCCCCTGGAATGTTATTTGGAGGAAATGCAATACTGGAGATGCGGTGCCCTCTTTCTCCTTGTTAGAATGAAGAGCTATATACCTGAAAAGACTGCTAATGTGTCAAAATGCTGCCCAGGGTAACATAGACACTACAGAAGGGCAATGCAAACAACATCCTCTCTTCTCACCCAGAAGATCAAATATGCTATACTAATGATACATTTTATCTGCATGAACTTGGGAGTACAATCCATATGGCCCAAAGACGGTACAGAATACAATATTTGCTGCTATAGACCCTGATCCAGCAAAGCACTTAAGCACATATGTGATGGGGCAGCTGCCCCTCACTGGTATGTAAGGGGTTTAAGCCACCCTGGCGAGGCTGCACAGGAGGCAGCCAATAGGGAAAAAGCTTTCAGATCCAGCCAATTAGGGGAAGGTTTACTGGAGGAGCCAATCAGAGCCGGGCTGGCCCATATGAGAAGGGGCTGCTGAGCAGAGGAGGGGGCAGTCACTCCCTGGAGTTT